ATGACACAGAAATAGAACCCACCATGGAATTCAGTGTTGCGTAAGTGCTAAACAATTAAGTGACCTACTTTAAATTTAAACTTAAAATGCCAATGTATTTTTTTTTTAAAAGGATGGCTGACCCCATTTCCTTTTCCATTACCATAAATTTCTTTCTGGAAAATTCAGAAGTGATTTCAAATTTGACAAGATTTTTTTAAGGCTTGGGGTAAAGACCCTATCTTAGTACAAAACAACAATTATTGCAATTTGGCCTCAGAATCCTAGACTTTATTTTAAGTGAACAAACGATCTAAAAAGCTTTCACAAGCAAGAGAATTGCAGAAAGAGATGACAGGCCTCCAATGGTTAAAACTCAGAAACAAACATTCTGATTAGCAAAAGTACTTATTTGCTTGGATAGCCATTGTTCCCATTTAAAGGTGCTAAAATGAAAAGAAAAAGTTGTTATGTTATTTAAAGAAGAAATAACCCTATACAGTGAAGGAATTTATACAGATTGTATGTAGGGGCGGGGGCAAGGCTTTAATAAGGTATCTAAACTCTCTCATTTCTTACTTTGGGAACTACTGATCTATTTGCTGATCACTCTCCAAATCTTTGTCTCTAGAACAGCTCTTACTGTAAAATTCTAGGACCGGATGACAAACTTCCCATTGGATATTGGATGTCTCTCAAACACCACTCCTGCAAACTGGGACAGATCGTGGCTCCCCAGCCCTTCCCTAATCTTGTTCCCCTTCCGGTGTTTTCCACTTGGGTGAAAGGTACCGAGCCGGGAACATGCATGCCTTCCTTGATCTGTGATTCCGCAGGTTGCTTATATCGGATTGAGAATGCCGGCTACCTGTAGCTTCTACACATCTCCAGGGTACCATATCAGCCAGAGCCCAGTAAGGAAAACCGTACAACTTATTTTTTTATTTTTCATTTTTACTTGTATTTGTTTGTTTGTTTATTTATTTATTTGGGGAGAAAGAGAGCGAGCCAGGGTGAGTTTGGGGGAGGGGCAAAGGAGAGGGAGAGAGAGAATCCTAAGCAGGCTCCATGTCCAGCACAGAGCCAGAGGCGGGGCTTGATCTCACAACCCTGAGATCATGACCTGAGCTGAAGTCAAGGGTTGGATGCTTAACCAACTGAGCCACCCGGGCGCCCCAACCACACTAGTTATTTTAACTGAAAGAATTTAATATAAGGCATCAGTTAAGTGGGTTTTGCAGGGCTGAAAAGGCAAAGGGGGAGCATTGCAGTGACAGAACTACAGAAGCAGCTACCACCTCTTGGAATGGGGGAACGAGGACCAGAGGTTGGGGTTACCAGAATGTAGGAGCTGCAGGGAAGGACTCTGAAATTCTTGAGGGACCACGGTCGGCTTGCTGCTATAGGAGCTCAGGGGAGGAGGCGCACCTAGTTGGGCTGGAGGAGGGAGGTGGTTGGAATTGGTACATCTGAAGGGCATGATTCGGCTGGGGTCCAGGCGGCGCAGGGAAAAAGCCAGACCTATCGCTGTTTCCAGGATGAAGGGCTATATTGCTGGGCTTAGGCTGATGGGATCAGCAAACACACAGGAAGGAGCAGCTTTCTTTCTGCCTTCTTAGTCATGCAGTCTTCCTTGAGTGCTCCTTATGGGGGAAATCTAACAGGAGGCCAGTGGGGAAAAGAGAAATGTAATTTACAGAGAGTTAATGTGAGCATCACAGAACAACACATAGGGACGTGTATTTGGTGCCAGGAGAAAATTGTTGTCAAATGACAAGAATAAAACCATTTAGTCTGATATCCTTTGGATTGGGAGAGTACAATGCCACACGAGCACTGGGACACTCTTCTCAAGGGATGTTGGGCAGAGGCAAGTTTTATAGAGCATTAGAAGCAGCAATATGGAAACGGGGCACCGCTGGCTAGCAAGTCCATCGGGGAATAAGGCTAATGTCTTTGGTTTGAGCTAATCGGCCAGGGTTGCGTATCTCACTTTATTTAGAACTACGATAGTAGCACAGATTCTTGGCAGTTGGGGATTGGCTGGCTGGAAATACTGCCTTTCTGGTCAAATGGAGCATTTATAGGAACGTGAAAGTTCTCTCAGTTTTGGTTTGCTGACATGGCGTTCTGGGCAAGTGTGGCTCCATCTTGGACGTAGAAGTTTATTTCAGCACAGCCTAACAGTGCATTTTCAACAAAAAGCCCATTATTTCTACCTCCTACCTCTTCTCTCTGTCCCCACTGCTGCTTTCCTGCCTTACGTACCATTACCTCCCCGCTGACCTCATGCAATAGCCTCTTAACTGGTCTTGCTGTTTTTTCTCATGCCCACCTCAAATCCAATTTCCACACAGTGGTCAGAGTGATGGCTTTAGTATTTTATTTTATTGAAGATTTTATTTATTTATTTATTTATTTATTTATTTATTTATTTAAGAGGGAGAGAGAGAGAGCAAGAGCACTAGAGCAGGGGGGTGCAGAGGGAGTAGCAGACTCCCCGCTGAGCAGCGATCCCGACGTGGGGCTCGATCCCAGGAGAAGGCAGATGCTCAACCTACTGAACAACCCAGGCGCCCATTTAATTTTCAGTTAAACAGCATAATTGTTTAGGAGAAGCATTCCCCATGTGGTATTTCAGAAATTTATCTAAAATTCAAATTTAACTAAACATCTGTATTTTTATTCGCTAAATCTGGCAGTCCTACCTAAGGGCTAAATCATCGCTGTTCCAGACTCACTGGTCTGGAGTGTTTTTACCAATTGCAATGAGTCAATTGCTTTTTTATTGTTGTTTTTCAGAGTCAACCCTACATTGAAACAGTTCCTCTTCCATAATTACAATGAGTATTGTGTCTTTAGAATCAGACTGTAGGGGAGGAAAAAGAATCTTTCCTCTACCCTTCTAGGTTCTGTGGCTGAGAACCCCCATCACAAAAGACAGATTAAGAGAAAAACAAACCGAAGTTTAATAATGTGTGTACCTCATGTGTACACCCAGGAGACGCAGGAAAACTGAGTAAAATCCCTTGAAATGACCCAAACCAACACCTTAAATATAATCTCCAGCTGGAAAGAACCGAAGAAGTTGGGGGAGGGTCAGTTATGGGACCGCTAAGCAGGAAAAGCACAGTAAACAGCGTCAGTTGTCCTGCAGATTTAAGTCATTGCCTTCTCCATTAATTGAAGAATTAATCTCCAATGGAGATCTAGAGTCGGCCTCCTCTTCCCGAGGGAGACACCTTTATAAATGGGAAATTTCTTTTATATATGTAAATGTCCTTTCCAAAAAAGTAACTTCTACTCTGTTTTCAGAGCTTCTCTTATGTGTTTGAAGGTTTTTAAAAACAACCACATCAAAACAATCCTTATGTCAAAGAGACATATTTTATCGTGGTGTATTTTGCTACCCTTCAAGATGAAGTCAAGAGAGAGACGCAGAATCCAATTAGGTGAGTTTTGGTCCTGACAGGAAGTTGAAGAATCCTCTCGAGGTCAGGGAGAAAGGAGCTTGGAGAAGGAAGCTAGCAGCAACCTTCGCAGAGAGGTAGGGAGAGTGAAGAGTTCTGGCCACACCAATTAGTGAAAAGAGGTCACAAAAGAAACTGAAAGGGGTTATAGAAGACTTGCGTAAGAGCGTGAAGTACCCAGTGGAAAAAACATCAATGTTTATGTCAAAGGGGAAGACACTTAAATGTCTTAAGTGTTTCAAGAAACACAAAATCAAACCAAGCCAAAAGGAAAGTCAGCTGCAACCTAGTGGCTATTTGCAGACTTCCATCTTCAACAGAAGAATTAGTTAATTCTTAAACTCCCAGGAGGTTGGTCCAAAAGCCAAGTCCAAGGTAAAGTATGTAATTTTTCTTATAAAACTTATAAAAATAGCTCATTATGTCCATCAGTGGGGTAGGAAGAAGTTCCCTGAATATATGCAGGCTCAGGTCTTGGGTCCTGGCCCCTTATTCTTGGCCTCTGAAGAATCTTCAGTGACTGGAAGAATCACATCAATTTGTCTGGGATGGCTGAAACTGGTTCTTTCATGGGTATGTGTGTGGATTTCCTAATTCTGGAAAATTTCCACACTTTGCTATGATTGTGTTCAGAGACAGTGTGTGAATGGTTGGTATTATATTTATACATAAAATGTTTAGAATGTTGAAGAGATTTGGCATAAAACCATGTTTGACCAAGTGGCCTGGTGATTCCTTTTAAAATATGTAATGGGGCAATTGATTTCAGACTTACAATGTTAAAATTGAATATTATAAAATAATTTGGCTGAATTTATAAGCACTATTAGAATTTTTAAGACAACTTAATATTTATTATGTTAATAAGTTTATTAGATTTACGAGACCATTTAGCTGGGAAAGTATTACTTGTTAGGTTCAGAATTGAAGTACTTATTAAAGAAAATTAAATATAGTGATACTATAAGTGTAATTTAAACTTTTAAAGATAATTTAATTAACTAGGATATAAGTGGGACTGATTCTTCAAAGATTTTCGTTTTTTTCAATTTGAATTGCTCAAGCTTTATTCAAAATGCCCTTGAAAGTGAACACATTTATGTATATAAAATAAAATAGCTTAAAAACTTCATCTATTATTTAATTTATTGCTTTAATTTGTTTATATTAATCAGGACCATCAAGGAAAAACAAATAGCTTTGTCCAGGCTCACAGATAGCAAATAATCCATAGTGAGAGTTTTGAAGATTATTTTTTTTCTCTTTTTCTTTTCTTTTTTTTTTTTTTTTGAGTAGGGTGGGGAGACAGAGGGAGAGGATCTTGAGCAGACTCCATGCTGAGTGTGGAGCCTGACGGTGGGCTCGATCTCAGGATCCTGAGATCATGCCCTGAGCCATAATCAAGAGTCGGATACTTAACCGACGGAGCTGCTCAGGCGCACCTTGAGGATTATCTTTCCTGGAAGTCAAGCCCGTGGCAGATATCCGTGGTTCTAACAAGTGAGTTTGCTCATCCCTAGCCTTTCTCAATAGCCACTGAAAACCAGATTTCAATCAGGAAATGTCTTATATACAATGCCCTATTTTGAACCCTGAGTCCTTCCTTCGAGGCTGAGAACTTCCCTTTCCCTTTGACTTTGGCCCCTTCTCTCCACATGTCACTATTCGCAGAGCAAATGTGACTCAGAAACCGGTTCCTCAGGGTTGTAACATTAGATGATGCACACTTGGGTCATTATGCTGTAAGCCAATGTCTGTGTTTCATTGGGCTGGGTTCTCTAGAAGGTATGTTGCTGCCTGTGTTATTGGAAAAACATTCCACAGGTGTGGGAAGAGAGGACGTGCCGCCGGCCTCAGCTTCTAGGGACTTTTCTCTTGGCTGGGAAGGATTTTATGTTCATCAGAAATACTTCCAGAAGATTTAAGAAGCGGTAAGGTTGACGCAAATCTGTGAAGGACCAGCATGGGGATCCTATACTCTGAGGTATGTGACCTTTCTGGAAGTAAGATTCCAAAGGTGTTGAAAATTGTTCTTGCTTCCTTTCCTTGTTTAGCTTTCTGTGAGAGTGTCAAGCCAAAACAAAGTGCTGTGTATTAATCTTTTTGATACACTTAATATTTTAAGGCAAATTATTTTGCAATTCTAAAACTCCACGTACATCTAAGTAGGGAGCAATACGATAAATATGTCACAATGTCCAGATGTTTGTGGGGGTAATTTGGATCTTGCAGGAACTTATGAAAATGGAAGTAATGGAGTCATGTTTTCTGATGTCAAACTTCCAGAGGAAAAGTGAAAATTGTACCCAACTGGATTTTCTAAACATACAAAAGGAGACTGGCTCCTTTATGGAACCACATGGACAGAGCGACACCTTTCAGCTTGGCATTTGAAAAGAAATTCGCTATCAGCAATTATAAATAGAGATCATCCCTATATAGAAGAGGGATAAATGCAGACTATATTTTTGGTGCTTTGAGTTTTTTCTTTTCATATCTGATAAATACAAAAAATGTTTCCCCCTGTATTGAAAGTAACCTATTAGAATCAAATATATTTGTAATACTGTTTCAAAGGAGTACAAGTAATGTGTACACAGGAGTATAAGAGGTGTAATGATGTTCTTATTCACAATTTATCCCTTTCCTCTCTAACACAACCGGTTATTCTGCATTTCACTACAAATGCTCAGCAGGACCTCCTTGGGTGGTTCTTCTCATATTAAAGGCAGTTTCTCTGCATTTGCAATTATTTCTAATGCCTGTCCTGTGCGTGTGCGTGTGCGTGTGTGTCTTTCTATAGTCAGTGTACTACTCTTTGATTAGTTTAAAATTGCAGGCATGTCTTGCTCAGTGACTCTAGTTTGGTGAAGAGATCCTATATATGAAACCGACAATACATGCAATATTCTAAAATGCTACTACTCTGGTGTTGCCCAAACTTTAGATTGCTGGAGTTAGAGGAACCTAAAAGACAGGAACTTGTTTAATGCAATGTCGAGAGCCCCCAGCCCAGATAGTCCATTTCACTCAGTCTGTGGTAGGGTTGGCAAACTTAGCTTTTAGGGGAGCATCTCAGGTGATTTTCCCATAGGTGATCAGTTCACCCCCCATGGGAGAGAAACACTGCTCTAAGGTGAGAGCTTTTCAAATTTTAATGTGAGTACAGATCACCTAGGCTCTTGTTCAACTGCAGATTTTTGTTCTGTAGGTCTGGGTAGGGCTGAAGATTATGCATTTCCATTCCTTGATGCCTATGTTGTTGGTCCACGGACCACACTTTGAATAGCCAGGTTGCAATCTAGGTGCTGAGAATAATTACGTTAAAAACAAAAAAAAAAGTCTCTGCCTGCGCAGTGCAATTGTTTGTTGATTGGGTGTTGATTTGGCAAGTAGTTGAGTTGAGTCAAGGTGAGGTAAGATCTGTTGAATTGTTTTGAAGTATTGTTGGGGAAAAGAAAATTTTCCTCTCCTCTCCAAAATTTCTTCTGGCTTGTCTAAGAACTACATTGACCTGAGACAGATTAACAGGAGAAAATCAAATTTAATTTTGTATTACATAGGGGAACCCTATGTATATAAGAGTTCAAAGACAGAAAGGTAATATGCCATCCTGAGCTAAGACATGCAGTAGGAGTCCAGGATTCAATGGAGCGGAGGCCAATCCACAGGCAAAGAGAAGAGCAGATGTTTGACAACGAGATGTGCGCCCTGCCCTATGAAGGGTCACTCAGATAAAATTTATCTCTGGTAAAAACTCTCATTCTGGGAGAGACCCCTAATTTAACTTCTTCTCCGTAGTTCAGGGAAGGGAAAAAGTTTCTCTTGAGACTGCTGGATCTTGATTGCCTCTAGTCCAAAAGAGTTCACAGGCCAAAGTGGCATATTTTTTGGGAGACTTACTCTGAACCCCTTCAGCATCAATGAGAATATCCCCAGAAGTGGAATCAGTGTTTCACTTTTCAAATATATGGAGGACAAAGTGACTTGGAATTTACTATGATATTTAAAGACAACTCCAACAACCACACACATGCATACACATGCCCCAGCATACCTAGAAGCTCACAGGTAATTTATTCAAAGCTCATAATTAATATGGAACCAAAGGTAGCCTAAGGTAGTGTTGAAATACATGCTTTGGCCAGACCACTCCATATCACAAGTGGAAGTGGATTCTAGGCCCTTCCATCTGATTGTGCACACTTGTCAACTAACTCTAGTGTTAGCCGCGTGAGACGCAGGAGCCCCTGGGAAGTCCGCCATTTCCAGAAAGAAGATAGTTGACCACCATTTTGGCAAATAGTTTCTCAACTTGCAGAACTCCCCCTTGATATCAACTTGTTTTTTTCTTAAGGTAAAAGTAGCCACCACTGAGGATAGTAAAGACATTGGTAAGACTAGCTTGGGTGGCAGGTTTGTATCAGGAATAAGTGTTGAATCTTCCCCATTGTCAGCTGCGTCGAGGATGCTGTTTGCGGAATGCCTCTGTTTATTCTGCCGTCTCGTTACTCCCCAGCAGCTGATCCTGGGAGATACTCAGCTGGCATGAGCGTGCTCTCACTGAGCCCTGCTGCAGGGACTGGGGCTTGTGTGCTGGATTTGGACACTTGGCATTTTCAGTTGACAGAGTGATGATGCCCAGGGCAGTGGATTCTAGAGCTGCACCAATTCTGCCCAAGTTCTTGAAGATACTCAGTATCCCCGGATACCACCTTCTTGATATGTAGACTAACACTGTTATTCCATGCCCAGGACTTGAATAATCTGGCTTGAGCAATGGATGTAAGTGCTGAAGAGAAGTGGGCCCTTTTAGATCAGAAGAAAGCTTAGCTGCAACTGTAGTTGAGTGTGGGAGTTACTTGTGAATGGAAAAAAAAAAAAAATCTTAGTCTTACTCTCTGGTGTCCTGATGCAGAAGGTCTGGGATGGACCTTCTGTGAGGTTCTCCCATCTCTAATTTTAAAGAAGTTGAGACGCTCTGGAGTAATCCCTCAAATACATAAACATAACCTACTCATCTGTGATGTATGTACAAGGCTCTCTTCTGCCCTCTGCCAATGGCTCTGCGTTGCCCAGGTATAAAGAATGGGAACCACTAAATTAAGAACAGGGCAAGAGCCAGCCAGACCTGCCCCATTCCTTGGGCCTAGACTGCCTCACGGTACCTTTTAAAAAAATTTTAATTCCAATATAGTTAACATACATTGTTATATTAGCTTCAGGTATACAATATAGTGATTCAACAATTCTCTACGTTATTCAGTGCTCATCATGATAAGTGTACTCTTCATCAGGCATCTATTTTTTTTTTTAAATGTTTAGTAGGGCGCCTGGGTGGCTCAGTCCTTGAGCGTCTGCCTTCGGCTCAGATCATGATCCCGGGGTCCTGGGATCGAGCCCCGCATCGGGCTCCCTGCTCAGCGGGAAGCCTGCTTCTCCCTCTCCCACTCCCCCTGCTTGTGTTCCTGCTCTCACCGTCTCTCTCTGTCAAATAAATAAATAAAATCTTTAAAAAAAATTAAAAAAAATAAAAAATGTTTAGTAAAGTTCAACTTCCCACTTTGAGTGTGGGAAGCTCTTCTACACTGGGGATGTAGGCTTGTCATTTTTTCCTTAGAAAAATTCTTTGTTCCTCTACTCCTCTTGCGTTGATTGGCTGGGGCCCTGCAAATCTGACTGATAACTGAAATACTAACAAAAGAAAGAGAAACAGAAGTTTATTAGCATGGGCATCTTGCATATGCTTGGGAAAACCCAGCGATGAGTAACTCACAGGGGTGATTAGAACTTGGGCTCTTACAGCATCTCAACAAAAGGACCGTACAGTTTCAAGAAGTGATCAGACACAGGAGAAGGACTTTGAGTTTCTAGGGTGGCAAACTGTGGAAGACAAATATATGGTGGAGCTAATGGAAGACAAAGGCTATGTAGTCAATTTTATTATGTCGATTCCTTTGATGACTTCTCTGACAAGGTGACTTTTGTCCTTCCTGGCAGAGAGGGGAGGGGAAGCCCCTTCATAAATTTATGTCATGCTTTTAGCTAAATAGCAGGAAGGCAGAGAGCTTTCCTTGTATCTGCTTCTCAGTTGACTTCAGCTCAAAATAATTATTATGCCAGAAGTATATTTTGTGGTGTATATTCTGCAAATATATATATATACATATATATTCATTTTATAACTGGAAATTTGTACCTTTTGACTCCTTTAACCAATTAAACACATTTCACCTCCCCCACCCTACCCTAGGCAACCGTTAATCTATTCTCATGCACTGGATTTTTTGCTTTTGTGGTTTTTACTTTGCTACTGTTGTAGCAAAATAAAATGTTGTTTTAGATTCCACATATGTTGTTTAGATTCCACATATGAGTGAGATCATATGGTACTCATCTGTCTGTGCCTGACTTATCGCAGTTATCATAATGCCCTCAGGGTCCATCCGTGTTGCAAATAACAAGGTTTCATTTGTCTTATGGCTGAGGAATAGTCCATGGTGTGTATATGCCACACCTTTATCCATTCATCCATCAGTGGATATTTAGGATGTTTCTGATATCTTTTTAAGAGAAAATGGAGAATAGGGAAGCATTCCCATGTTGGTTCTAACATCTGCAACAAAGGATGTGCTTAGAGCTCAGTGAGAGGACCTAGATTGGAATAATCAACCCCTGCTAGGGGAGCTGGGCTCTTAAACAGGCCTGCCTCATTTAAGCCCTTATCAAACATATTTGTTCACACTATTTACAATCACAGCAAACATTTAATTAAGGCTTGTTATATATGTGGTCATGTTCTAAGCACTTCATGTGCATTAACTGATTTAATACTTAGAGCAACCATATAAGAGAATCACTATTATTATCTTAATAATATTATTATTATTATTATTACAAATGAAAAACTGAGGCAAAGAGAGTTTAAGTAACTTGCTTAGAGTAATGCAGCTAAAAGTACTTCCTGGCTAGAGACCGGAGGCT